GAGTACATCAATTATTGTATGTTTTACGTCATTATCATTAAATAGTCGCAATTCATAAAATGCTTGAATGCTTTCATTTTTCTCGAATTGGTAAACAAAACTCACTATTCTAAGAGCCGCAATGGTACGTGAATACAAGACGACATCACTAAATCAGTCCTTGAAGAGCCGCAGTCTGACCAAGCCCCTGATTTAGATCATTTAAACGTGCGTAGCTCCAGTGGCATTCCTAACATCGGAAGAGGAGCGTTCCAGACGGCCCCAAGTCGGCGAATGCTCTACGGAGGGGACCTTTGTCTTGCGAGGCCAGGCACGGTGTGTCCTCCTATAGAGTGGTGGTAGTACTTTTGCGTTCCTGGAGAACAGCGCGTTATCGAAAAATACCGTTTAAACAAACTCGGAAATAACATGGGGGGCTAAAGCACGGCAGTCGGCGACAAGGCGCGAGACGTGCAACGCAGGCCCGAGCAATGAGCGAGGCGCATGAGTCGCATCCAAGAAGCATCCAGCAGCGTCCCACCGATCCAGCAGCATCCCACCGATCCAGCAGCATCCCACCGATCCAGCAGCATCCCGATGCCTCGTGCGACGTCTACTCCGAAGCAGCTGGGCGGCCGCTTACCACCCCCCGCGGCAACACACCTCCGCTCGCTCGCGTTGCATCCAATTCATATCCGCGCTTTTATATATGTATATATGTGTGTGTGTGCAGTGAAACCTTGGATTGCGAGTAACTTAGTCTGCGAGTGTTTTTGCAAGACGAGCAGAAATGTTAATTCAATATTAATTTGGTAAACGAGCGAGGTCTTGCAATACGAGCAGTACGTACAGTAAATACGCTTTGTCTGCCGAGCGTCACGTGATCACAGCTGAGCCGATGGTTCTTCTCTCTTTCTCTCTCGCTGCGGGATTGTGGGTAATCGTCTCCCATGCTCGGTCTCAGTCGGCGTGCCTCACTCGTATGGTCAACATCCGTGCGAGCGTCGACTGTTTACTATATAGTGTTGTGACCACGTGTGTGTGTGCGTAAAGCATTTTTTGTATTTTGTGTCCAAGTGTAGTGACTTCTTTAGTAGCTGTACTGCAAGTGGAAGTCGTCCTACACAATAATCCTCCTCTCCTCTCTCTCGTCTCCCTCACACCAGCCACGATTACATCTAATTAATACATTTGATTACTTTATCTAAAATTTGAATAATCAAAATAGAAAAAGGTATTTTGCATTAATAATTTTTATACGAACACAGTATTTTTTGGGTTGTGGAACGAACCTTCCGAGTTTCCATTGCTTCTCACGGGGAAATCCGCTTTGATACACGAGCGCTTTGGATGACGAGCACGTTTCCCGGACACGGACCACGCTCGCGATCCAAGGTCTCGCTGCTCATTCCAAAAACTTTCTCCCCGAACAATATTCCCTCGTCGCGCCATATCACAAGCATCGTCACCTTCTCCGGCGTGTATCTTGAGGTGGAACTTGAGCTCGTAGGGCTGCGCAAACGCTTTGCCGCAGGCTCCGCACGCCAGGCTCGCCTTCTCCTTGGCGTGCGTCCGCCGCACGTGGCTGTCGTGCGCCGCGTGCGACGCGAACGCCTTGCCGCAGTGGCGGCACTTGAAGGGCTTCTCGCCCGAGTGCTGGCGGATGTGGGTGCGCAGGATGGACGACGCGGTGAACGCCTGGCGCGCGTGCGTGTGTGTGTGTGGGTGTGTGGGTGGGCGTGTGTGTGTGCGTGTGTGTGGTGTGTGTGTGGTGTGTGGGTGGTGTGTGGGTGGTGTGTGAGTGGTGTGTGTGTGTGGTGGTGTGTGGTGTGTGTGAGTGTGTGTGTGGTGTGTGGGGTGTGGTGTGTGGTTGTGTGTGTGAGTGTGTGTGTGTGGTGTGTGTGTGTGTGTGGTGTGTGTGGGGTGTGTGTGGTGTATGTGGGTGTGAGTGTGTGTGGTGTGTGGTTGTGTGGGTGAGTGTGTGAGTGTGGGGTGGTGTGTGGTGTGTGTGTGAGTGTGTGTGGTGTGTGTGGGGTGTGTGTGGTGTATGTGGGTGTGAGTGTGTGTGGTGTGTGTGTGGTTGTGTGTGAGTGTGTGTGTGAGTGTAGTTGTGTGGGCGTGTGTGGTGTGTGGGGTGTATGGGTGTGGTGTGTGTGTGGGGTGGTGTGTGTGTGGTGTATGGGTGTGGCGTGCGTGTGTATGGTGGTGTGTGTGTGATGTGTGTGGTGTGTGTGTGGGGTGGAGTGTGTGTGGTGTATGGGTGTGGTGTGTGTGTGGGGTGGTGTGTGTGTGGTGTATGGGTGTGGCGTGCGTGTGTATGGTGGTGTGTGTGTCATGTGTGTGGTGTGTGTGTGGGGTGGAGTGTGTGTGGTGTATGGGTGTGGTGTGTGTGTGAGTGTGGGGTGGTGTGTGTGGTGGTATATATGTGTTGGTGTATATGTGTGGAGGTGTGTGTGGGGTGGTGTGTGTCGTGTGTGTGGGTGTCGTGTGTGTGTGGTGGTGTGTGTGTGGGTGTGTGAGTGTGGGGTGTGTGGGGTCGTGTGTGTGGTGTGTGAGTGTGTGGCGTTTTTGTGTGGTGGCAGTGTGTGTGGTGGTGGTGTGTGGATGTGGCGTATGTGTGGGGTGTGTGTATTGGTGTATGTGTGTGTGTGGGGTACGTGTGGTGGTATATATGTGTTGGTGTATATGTGTGGTGGTGTGTGTGTGGGGGGTGTGTGTGTATGGTGTGTGTGTGGTGGTATGTGTGTGTGGGGTGTGTGTGTATTGGTGTATGTGTGTGTGTGGTGGTGTGTGTAGTGGTGGTGTATGTGTGTGTGTGGTGTGTGTGTGGTGGTGTATGTGTGTGTGTGGTGGTGTGTGTAGTGGTGTTGGACACAACAAACAGAAATGGGTAAATTTAACACGACCGATATTATGATTCAGAATACAGATTTCATTTTTTGGTGGGGTGGAGGAGGGTTTACGACACACATTTCCCTTGCGAGGTCTGAACCAATCATCAATTGTGTGGGTGGACTGAAGTGGCAATGGGCCGGAACACTCCATTGTTGTAGGGGCGGTGGAGGGGGTGAAACTCTAAAGCGGACTACGGCCTTACGGAAGGAACCAGGATTATTTTATTTTATTTTACTTTTATTAATTTTAATTTTAATTTTTTACCTACATGACTTTACCGAAAAAAACCTAAGAATATGAAAAGGAACCAGGAAACAAGTCCATAAATAAATCTATATCCTGCACACTGGAGACCCATAGAGTTACACAGAGACCCATAGAGGTACACAGAGACCCATAGAGTTACACAGAGACCCATGGAGTTACTCAGAGACCTATAGAATTACTCAGAGACCCATAGAGTTACACAGAGACCCATAGAGTTACACAGAGACCCATAGAGTTACACAGAGACCCATAGAGTTACACAGAGACCCATAGAATTACTCAGAGACCCATAGAGTTACACAGAGACCCATAGAGATACACAGAGACCCATAGAGTTACACAGAGACCCATAGAGATACACAGAGACCCATAGAGTTACACAGGAGACCCATAGAGTTACACAGAGACCCATAGAGTTACACAGAGACCCATAGAGTTACACAGAGACACATAGAGATACACAGAGACACATAGAGTTACACAGAGACCCATAGAGTTACACAGAGACCCATAGAGATACACAGAGACCCATAGAGTTACACAGAGACCCATAGAGTTACACAGAGACACATAGAGTTACACAGAGACCCATAGAGTTACACAGAGACCCATAAAATTACTCAGAGACCCATAGAGTTACACAGAGACCCATAGAGTTATACAGAGACCCATAGAGTTACACAGAGACTCATAGAGATACACAGAGACCCATAGAGATACACAGAGACCCATAGAGTTACACAGAGACCCATAGAGATACACAGAGGACCCATAGAGATACATAGAGACCCATAGAGATACACAGAGACCCATAGAGTTACACAGAGACCCATAGAGTTGCACAGAGACCCATAGAGTTACACAGAGACCCATAGAGGTACACAGAGACCCATGGAGTTACACAGAGACCCATAGAGTTACGCAGATAACCATAGAGATACACAGAGACCCATAGAGATACACAGATACCCATAGAGTTACATAGACCCATAGAGATACACAGAGACCCATGGAGATACACAGATACCCATAGAGTTACACAGAGACCCATAGAGATACACAGAGACCCATAGAGTTACACAGAGACCCATAGAGTTAGTTCAACGCGTAGGCTTTCACAACCAATATCATCCAGAATATGGGAGGGGGGGGGGGGCAGTGGGGAGGGGCAGTTTGGGAGTGAGGGCAGTTGGGGAGGTGGGGGCAGTTGGGGGGGGGGTAGTTGGGGGGGGGGACAGTTGGGGAGGGGCAGTTGGGGAGGGGCAGTTGGGGAGGGGCAGTTGGGGGGGCAGTTGGGGAGGGGCAGTTGGGGGAGAGGCAGTTGGGGAGGGGCAGTTGGGGAGGGGCAGTTGGGGGGGGCAGTTGGGGAAGGGCAGTTGGGGAGGGGCAGTTGGGGGAGGGGCAGTTGGGGAGGGGCAGTTGGGGAGGGGCAGTTGGGGAGAGGCAGTTGGGGAGGGGCAGTTGGGGAGGGGCAGTTGGGGAGGGGCAGTTGGGGAGAGGCAGTTGGGAGGGGCAGTTGGGGAGGGGCAGTTGGGGAGGGCAGTTGGGGAGGGGCAGTTGGGGGGGACAGTTGGGGGGGCAGTTGGGGGGGACAGTTGGGGAGAGGCAGTTGGGGAGGGGCAGTTGGGGAGGGGCAGTTGGGGAGGGGCAGTTGGGAGGGGCAGTTGGGGAGGGGCAGTTGGGGAGGGGCAGTTGGGAGAGGCAGTTGGGGAGGGGCAGTTGGGGAGAGGCAGTTGGGGAGGGGCAGTTGGGGAGGGGCAGTTGGGGAGAGGCAGTTGGGGAGGGGCAGTTGGGGAGGGGCAGTTGGGGAGAGGCAGTTGGGGAGAGGCAGTTGGGGAGGGGCAGTTGGGGAGAGGCAGTTGGGGAGGGCAGATGGGAGGGGCAGTTGGGGAGGGGCAGTTGGGGAGGGGCAGTTGGGGAGGGGCAGTTGGGGAGGGGCAGTTGGGGAGAGGCAGTTGGGGAAGGGCAGTTGGGGAGGGGCAGTTGGGGAGGGGTAGTTGGGGAGGGGCAGTTGGGGAGGGGCAGTTGGGGGAGGTGCAGTTGGGGGAGGGTCAGTTGGGGAGGGGCAGTTGGGAGGGGCAGTTGGGGAGGGGCAGTTGGGGAGGGTCAGTTGGGGAAGGGCAGTTGGGGAGGGGCAGTTGGGGAGGGGCAGTTGGGGAGGGGCAGTTGGGGGAGGTGCAGTTGGGGGAGGGTCAGTTGGGGAGGGCAGTTGGGGAGGGGCAGTTGGGGAGGGGCAGTTGGGGAGGGTCAGTTGGGGAAGGGCAGTTGGGGAGGGGCAGTTGGGGAGGGGCAGTTGGGGAGGGGCAGTTGGGGAGGGGCAGTTGGGGAGGTGCAGTTGGGGGAGGTGCAGTTGGGGGAGGTGCAGTTGGGGGAGGTGCAGTTGGGGAAGGGCAGTTGGGGAGGGGCAGTTGGGGAGGGGCAGTTGGGGGGGCAGTTGGGGAGGGGCAGTTGGGGAGGGACAGTTGGGGAGGGGCAGTTGGGAGGGGCAGTTGGGGGGGGTAGTTGGAGAGGGGCAGTTGGGGGGGGGGACAGTTAGGAGGGGCAGTTGGGGGAGCTGCAGTTGGGGAAGGGCAGTTGGGGAGGGGCAGTTGGGGAGAGGCAGTTGGGGAGGGGCAGTTGGGGAAGGGCAGTTGGGGGAGCTGCAGTTGGGGAAGGGCAGTTGGGGAGAGGCAGTTGGGGAGGGGCAGTTGGGGGGGGGCAGTTAGGGGGGGGGCAGTTGGGCAGGGGCAGTTGGGGAGGGGCAGTTGGGGAGGGGCAGTTTGGGGGGGCAGTCAGAGCGAGCAGTTAAGGGGGGAGGGGACAGTTGACGGGGGGCAGTTGGGTGAGTGGGGGACCGCCACGGTCCAGGAGATGGTGGGGACACAGGGAAATATTCCTAGACATTTAAAGCTGTGCATCAATAACGATGCAGTTCATTTATTGTAAACTAATCTAAGAAACTAAACCATTTTTTTATGCCTACCAGGTAAGGGCCACCCAGCTACGTAGGTTTTTTTTGTCCCACGAATGACGGCTCAACACGAAGTGGCTTCATCACGTGGCAAAAAAAACTGTACAGCAAGCGGGCAAAATCCTCTGAATGCGATGCCACCGGTACGGTGATTCTCCACCCTCACCGTAAAGGAGGGCAAACACTCTAGGATCACCTTCCTGGCTCCCCCCACACCCCCCCAAACCCCCCCCCCCCTTCCTTGGCTCCTCCCCCCTCCTCCTCTTACCCTATATAATAATGCCCCATCACAAATAACTCCAACTACAGTTATTTTGCTGTGCCTTTTTACACCCGATGAAGGAAGCTTGTGTTGCCTCCGAAACGTCGTGATTCATTATATTATTTCTATTATTTTTATTTAATTTATTATTTACTATTTATCTATTTTTACCTACGTGACTTTACCGAAAAAACCTAAGAGTATAGGGCAAACACCCTCCATCGAGGGGGACGGTCCACCGACATCCCCATGGAGAGAGAGAGAGACGGAACTCCACAGCGGGACTCTTGCTACTGCATCGGCGGTGGCTCGGAGATGTTAACTCCCTCGCCTGGTATCCAGGAGGTCGTGGGTTCGATCCTGACCATGGAGATTGCGTGTCTCTCTCTCTCTCTGATCATCATCGGCAGTGGCTCGGAGATGTTAACTTCCTCGCCTGGTATCCAGGAGGTCGTGGGTTCGATCCTGACCCTGGAGATTGCGTGTCTCTCTCTCTCTCTCTCTCATCATCATCACGGTATCGAGATGTCAACTTCCTCGCCTGGTTTGCAGGAGGTCGACGGTTCGATCCTGACCCTGGAGATTGCGTGTCTCTCTCTCTCTCTGATCATCATCGGCAGTGGCTCGGAGATGTCAACTACCTCGCCTGATATGCAGGAGGTCGAGGGTTCGATCCTGACCATGGAGATTGCGTGTCTCTCTCTCTCTCTCTCATCATCATCGGCAGTGGCTCGGAGATGTTAACTCCCTCGCCTGATATGCAGGAGGTCGAGGGTTCGATCCTGACCCTGGAGATTGCGTGTCTCTCTCTCTCTCTCTCTCATCATCATCGGCAGTGGCTCGGAGATGTTAACTCCCTCGCCTGATATGCAGGAGGTCGAGGGTTCGATCCTGACCCTGGAGATTGCGTGTCTCTCTCTCTCTCTCTCTGATCATCATCGGCAGTGGCTCGGAGATGTTAACTCCCTCGCCTGATATGCAGGAGGTCGTGGGTTCGATCCTGACCCTGGAGATTGCGTCTCTCTCTCTCTCTGATCATCATCACGGTGTCGAGATGTCAACTACCTCGCTTGGTCTACAGGAGGTCGTGGGTTCGATCCTGACCCTGGAGATTGCGTGTCTCTCTCTCTCTCTCTCTGATCATCATCACGGTATCGAGATGTTAACTCCCTCGCCTGATATGCAGGAGGTCGTGGGTTCGATCCCGACCCTGACGCCTGCTGCTGTAGATTTGGAATCTCTGTGTCTCATTCCCCGTGGTCCCTTTGACTCTGTGTCGGCTTCTCCAGGTGTTCCCCCCTGCACATTGAAAATCAACGCCACGCGCTTCAGAGCATCGTGGCTGCTGCTCTACAGACCCACGTGACGATGATGATAAACCACCTTGGTTGAGCCATCATTCGCGATTGCCAGGGTCGCTGCTGAGATAAAGGTGCGTCATAATCTTGATTTGAAGCTTTCGTGACTGCAGGCATCCACACTCTTTGGTCCTTTCGGTGAAGTCACGTGAGTCGAAACACAATAAACCAAATCACGACGTTTCGATCGCAACACAAGCAGTCTTCACCCGTTGGCCCGACTTCAGAAATGTTCTTGCTGTGGTTGTCCCAGCTGATGGAGACCGGCTTGTGTTGCGATCGAAACGTCGTGTTTTGTTTAATTTTATTTCTACCTACGCGATTTTACCGAAAGAACCAAAGAGCAGAGCTACGTCTAGGCCGAGTGGGCCTCACCTGTGGCAGTGAAGAAAGAATAAATAAACAATCTTCTTGGTTCTTTCGGTAAAGTCACGTAGAAGGGAAACAACAAAACAATAAAACACAACAAAACAATTCTCACGACGCCTCGGCCACAACGCAAGCAGCCGTCCTCAGGCGAAGAATTTTAAATCGAAATAAACAATCGTTTAGTTCAGCGAGAGACGGGCCGATGCGCGCTCATCCTTCAGCGGATGGACCCTGACCTTGCTGCAGTAGACGCACTTGTAGGGCCTCTCGCCGGAGTGGACGCGCATGTGCTTGTTGAGGCTGGACGACTGCGAGAAGCTCTTGCCGCACACGGTGCACTGTGTTGACAAAGAAGATGAGGACAGGTCAGTTATCCGGGTTCGTAGCGCAGTTACCCGAACCGATACACCACCGCTCACCCGTGTTGAACAAGACAAAGGTTCCCCGCATAGACTGGGAACACAGACTGTTGGTGCAAGTTCTGTCAGCGAGCACCTAAGGCACACGAGGGGGTGGGTGGCCAGCACAACGCCCGGCCGCCTTTGTCTCCCCAGTGGCGATGTTTACTAGACACCGCACCAGGTACTCATTTGAGGCTGAGCCGACCTAGCGGAGGCCCAGGACCGGCTCAGATAGTCGTCACTGGTGTTGGCCGTGAGCGGGAATGGATCTCGGGTCGCCGGGTTTGGAGCGCATACAAATATATGTGCGTGGACTTGATGATTCTCCCGTAGAGGCTTTCACAGCACGAGGATGAGGTGCGTGAAAGGCAACTCCGTCCCTCCATTAACGGCAAACACACCCAACTCGGAGGAAGCTTCACTGTCAAAAGACCACGTGTCCAGGTCTGTCGAGGCGACATTCAGACGCTGTCGTCTCGACAGACCTGTTCTTCACCTGAGGACGGCTGCTTGCGTTGTGGCCGAAACGTCGTGAGAATTATTTTATTATGTTTTATTTGTATTATTTTATTACTTCCCTTCTACGTGACTTTACCGAAAGAACCAAGAAGATGAATCTCTGCAGTCACGAAAGCTTTAAATCGAAACATAAAAATGTTTTATTTTTATTATTTTATTACTTCCTTTCTACGTGACTTTACCGAAAGAACCAAGAAGAGGAATCCCTGCAGTCACGAAAGAAGCTTTAAATCGAAAGAAATGAAAATAATATAGGACGACGTTTCGATGGCAAGCAAGCGAGGAGCAAGCAAGAGCTAGCTTATCGACACAAGATATAACCTTGTTGTAACAGCTCTCTCGCCGGCTCAGCAGTTCCACCACCGGATTATTTTTTCCCGCCTGAAGACACGACCGCTTGTGTTGCGATCGAAACGTCGCGATCTGTTTTATTTTTCATTTTGTTTTATTTTTTCTACCCACGTGACTTTACCGAAAGAAACAAAGAGTATGAATCCCTGCTGTCACGAAAGCCTCAATCAAGATTGACACGTACACTGCTTGGTGCTCATAGTCACGTGCACGCGTATATTCGCACACATATCAGAATCAGAATATTTATTTAAACTACAGGAGGAGTCCGATGAGCTAATAAGCTCTTTCTCACAGATGTCCAGTAGGGGCAACTTGTAAACACATTACAACAACAAATATTACAAAAACAAATCACCAAAACAAATACAACTAAACCATCTGCATCCTACCAGACAAAGCCCACGGAGGTATTAACCTCTTTTTCAGAAGCGACCTGGCCACAAATGAAAACGCTCAACAAGGCGGCCCCACCATTTGGACATTTGTAGCCCCAAACAGAATTTAAATAACCTCAGGTGCACGTTTCTAAATGTGGTGGGAAAGAAAAGAATCGAACTCGAGCCCGCCCGCCCGCCCGTACGTACACGCCCGCACGTGACATGTCGCAATCGGGTACCCGATACCCGTACCCTACTCGATACCCGGCTACCCGTACCCGGCCGAGTATCGGGTACGGGTACGGTTAACCCGGGTAACCGTTTGCGACCCTGGTGCGGCCGGGTACGGGTACGGGTAAGGAATCAAAACCCGTTTGCGACCTCTGCCGCACACATGTACACGCCCGCACGCACACGCCCACGTACCTTGTGCGGCCGGTGCTTCTCGTGCACGTGCAGGATGTGCACGCGCAGGCGGTCGCGCTTCTCGAAGGAGCGGGTGCACAGGTTGCACGGGTACTTGCGGTCGCCGAGGTCCACGCAGCGCGTGTACTTGAGGTGCTTGTCGCGGTAGTAGCGGTACGCGAACACCTTGCCGCAGCGCTCGCAGCGGTAGCCCTCGCCGCTCTCTGCGTGCACGCCACACGGCAAGGGATAAGACAAAGGTCCCCCCTCCCGTGTAGACTTAACAGACCGCCGGGGCAAGTGCTGTGAAGGCGAGCAGCACCTGCGAAGGCCGGCACGGCGCACGACGGGGTCGGGTGGCCAACGCCACGCCGTGCCGCCTTCGTCTCCCGATGTTTAAACACCGCACCAGGTGCTCGTTTGAGGCTGAGTCGACCTAGGAGAGGCCCAGCAACGGTTCAGATGATCGTCACCGGTGTTGGCCGTGAGTGGCAATCGAGCTCGGGCCGCCGGGTCCGTAGTGGTGGAGCTGATGGTGAGGCCCCATCTCTTAGAGGCATGCTCCAGGTTCAGCAGTAATGTCTCCACTTACCAGATCATCAACATATGCAATATAGTTGAACAACAGGGAGCTATCGCTCGACCGCACCCGGGCAACAGCCAGCCTCCAATTTTACCTGTACCAGATTAAGATCCCTCTGGTACAGTCAGGGAAAGTCTTGAACTGCGTGGTCAAAGAAGATCTTAAATAGTGTAAGGGCCAGAAAAAAATCCTTGTGGAGCCCCAAGGTGAACAGGAAATGTCTCCTACTCCCATCCACGCAGCATCAGCCAGACCTGCCCACCATCATAAAGGTCCTCAAATGATTGTGAGCAGAGTCAGGGACTCTGAAAGCACGCACAACAACCCAAAGCCCTGATCTATTGATAGCATCAGAGGCCTTGACCAGGCCAAACAACGCAGAGATGTAGGTCCCGTTGATATTACCTACACCTCTGCTGGAGGAGACTAACAGAACAAATGGGGTCCGTGCACATTGGGGCTTTGCGAGCCTCTCCTCAGCGTGGCTGGCAAGGCGATGTTTAATTATTCTTTCCAGGGCCTTTACCAGCACTGAGGAGCGAGATGGCCCAAAAGTTTTTGCAATCAGAACAGTCCCGATAAAAAAAGAACATGGAGGACCACCAGAGCATCCTTGGAATCATGCGGAACTGGTCGTGTGGACCAGCCCCATTGTAATGATGTGGCATAGAGGAGTTTGCACGCCACCCTCTCTCAGCAGTTACTTTGAGAGGTCATCTCTACCTGCTGCTTTGTATGTACGTTGAACTTCCTTCGCACCGTACGTAGCCAACCGTGCTAATCGGATGTGCGATTTACCTGGTCTCATGCTCTGGATCGTCCTTCGCACTTCCTCAACAGATGGCACACCATCCAGCCACTCACAGGGGGTGACAACTTCTTCCAATGTTTGAGGCACCGCAGCCCCAGCAGGATCAAAGCCCCCCTTTCCCCATGATGTTGTTTCAGCCGAGGGGTTTTATCTCCCACAAGACCTCACAGAAATGCTCGGTAAAGCTGCCAGACCCATTCCTGGGGGTCGGAGATCAGATCACCTTTCTTTCCCTGAAGCATGGGGAATAGGTGAGGCGCTGCGAGCTACTTTGCTATCGACACCAACCACCATCGTACCATCAGCCGTGACCGCCTCTCCATATCCTTCCACGTCTCCTCCTCCTGCCATCCTCCCATCGCCCACCGCCATCGCCATCACCGTCGTTTTCACCGCCGCCGCCGCGGCCGCCATCACCATCATCAGACCGCCGTCGCCGCCGCCGGCGGCGCCCACCCCGGCCGCCGCGGCCTCCGCGTCTTCCGCCGCGGGGCTCGCCGCGTCTCCGCCGCCCGGCCCGGGTCCCGGCCCGCGTCCCGGGCCCGCTCCGGGACTCGAGGCCGCGGCCGTCGGGAGCCTGAGCCCCACGGGGATGCCCAGGAACTGCAGGTAGGCGGACTCGCCGTACCACACGAGGAGCTCGCGGCCCGAGGGGACGTCGCGGCTCGCCTCGTACACGATGGAGCGGCCGCTCTGCAGCGCCACGAGGTTCTGCTCGGAGGAGCTCCGCGCGCAGTTCACCAGCGACATCCAGTTGCCCGCCGCGCCGCGCCCGTCGATGAAGTGGCTCAGGCGGCCCCCCTCGAAAATCTGTGGGGTGGGAGGCAGTAGGGGGCGGAGTGTTGAATGGAGGGTTTGTTGTGGTGGAGGGGGAGACCAGGGCAGGAAAACAAAGATAAGCTTCAGATTTGGGCGGTTTGGGGGTGTTTGGGGGATGAGTGGCATGAGGTTTTGGAGGAAGTGGAAAGGTGGCAGAGTGGTAGAGGTAGGGGTAAGGAGAACGTGGCAGTGGAGGAGGTGATGGTGGAACTAGAGGTCGACGTCATGGATGATGAAGGGATGAGATGGTGGTGGTGATGGTGATTGTGGTGGGGGTGGGGTTGTCGTCCGTAGAAGGTGACGGTAGTTGCGGTGCGACCGTGGTCACTGCTGTCGAGAATTTCGAGCTCGCGACTCGTGAGTCTCCCACACACGCACACACACACACACACGCGTCGGTGTTCGTGCGAGCGAGCGAGCAAGACGGACTCTCACCTCCCACATGTGCGAGTTGTCGTCGTGCGTCTTGATCTCGCTGGGCGAGACGACGCGGCCCGCGTAGGGCCCGAAGCGCGTGCCCCGCGCCACGAGGCCCCGCGTGCAGAACACCCCGTAGTGCGCCTCGGTGCCCAGCCACGTGTGCAGGATGCTGAGGCCTGTCTCACGCGTGCACGTGAGAGACACGTGTGACTATGTCTCACGCATAGACGTGAGAGACACGTGTGACTACGTCTCGCGTAGACGTGAGAGACACGGGATGCACGTGAGAGACACGTGGGACTACGTCTCACGTAGACGTGAGAGACACGGGTGACTACGTCTCGCGTAGACGTGAGAGACACGGGGTGCGCGTGAGAGACACAGGGTGCACGTGAGAGACACAGGTGACTACGTCTTGCGTAGACGTGAGAGACACGGGGTGTGCGTGAGAGACACGTGGGACTACGTCTCGCGTAGACGTGAGAGACACGGGGTGCGCGTGAGAGACACGGGGTGCGCGTGAGAGACACGTGGGACTACGTCTCGCGTAGACGTGAGAGACACGGGGTGCGCGTGAGAGACACGTGGGACTATGTCTCGCGTGAGAGACACGGGGTGCACGTGAGAGACACGTGTGACTACGTCTCGCATGCACGTGAGAGACACGGGGTGCACGTGAGAGACACGGGTCACTACCGTCACACCCAACGCACCTTCAGGGAGGTTGAGAGACTCGCGATCCAGTGGCACAGTCTGAGGCCTCACACCTGGGAGAGGCAAAGACGAACAGGTGAGGGAGGCACACCGCGGACGTGTGAGAGGAGGTAAAGGGAGGAGCCGGGGGGCAGGTGCGGGTGGGAGGTGGGGTGGGGGCCGGGGTATCTCTCTCTCTGCCCCGTTGGGATCTCTCTCCATTCATCTCTCCCCACTCTCTCCCCATCGCTTCTTTCCGCCTCTTCAAGGATGCACACACACAACACGTACATGTGTAACTTCAATAGAGCCTGTATGCGGTGTGAGTTGACTAGTCGGCACGGGAGGTAATGACAGGGGAGTCAGTTGTAAGTGCGAAGGGACTGGTGGCCACGGGAGGTAATGACAGGGGCATCAGTTGTGAGTACGAAGGGACTGGTGGCTACGGGAGGTAATGACAGGGGCATCAGTTGTGAGTGCGAAGGGACTGGTGGCCACGGGAGGTAATGACTGGGGCATCAGTTGTGAGTGCGAAGAGACTGGTGGCCACGGGAGGTAATAACAGGGGAGTCAGTTGTGAGTGCGAAGGGACTGGTGGCTACGGGAGGCAATGACAGGGGAGTCAGCTGTGAGTGTGAAGGGACTTGTGGTCACGGGAGGTAATGACAGGGGAGTCAGTTGTGAGTGTGAAGGGACTGGTGGCTACGGGAGGCAATGACAGGGGAGTCAGTTGTGAGTGCGAAGGTACTGGTGGCCATGAGAGGTAATGACAGGGGAGTCAGTTGTGAGTGTGAAGGGACTGGTGGCCACGGGAAGTAATGACAGGGGAATCAGTTGTGAGTGCGAAGGGACTGGTGGCCACGGGAGGTAATGACAGGGGTATCAGTTGTGAGTGCGAAGGGACTGGTGGCCACGGGAGGTAATGACAGGGGCATCAGTTGTGAGTGCGAAGGGACTGGTGGCCACGGGAGGTAATGACAGGGGCATCAGTTGTGAGTGCGAATGGACTGGTGGCCACGGGAGGTAATGACAGGGTAGTCAGCTGTGAGGGCGAAGGGACTGGTGGCCACGGGAGGTAATGACTGGGGCATCAGTTGTGAGTGCGAAGAGACTGGTGGCCACGGAAGGTAATGACAGGGGAGTCAGTTGTGAGTGCGAAGGGACTGGTGGCTACGGGAGGTAATGACAGGGGAGTCAGCTGTGAGTGTGAAGGGACTGGTGGCCATGGGAGGTAGTGACAGGGGAGTCAGTTGTGAGTACGAAGAGACTGGCGGCCATGGGAGGTAATGACAGGGGAGTCAGTTGTGAGTGCGAAGGGACTGGTAGCCATGGGAGGTAATGACAGGGGTATCAGTTGTGAGTACGAGGGGACTGGTGGCTACGAGAATGATTGAGAAGGGAGCGTGGTCGGGTGACGGAAGAGGACGGTGGAGTCTGCCGGTGGAGCGAGCGTTCAGAGTCAGCGAGAATGATCGAGAAGGGGGGCGTGGCCTCGTGTAGGTATAAAAGGGGGACCTGCGCGGGAGACTCGGGGCTGTTGCGGTGGGGGTCTCCGCCTGATGTCAAGTGAACGTGTCTTCAATAAAGTGCCATCTCAACAGTCGTCGTCATTACACATACGCACGCACAGATTCCCACACACTCGTACACACATATACACACAGACACACCCTCGTACGCACACAATACACCTGCACACAAAGACAACGATCCCCCCGTACAGCCTTAACGGACTATTGGTGGAGTTCTGTTAGCGATCTGCACCTATGAAGATCGGCACGGCACACGAGAGAGTGGGTGACTAGCACCACCACGCCCGGCCGCCTTTGTCTCCCTCGTGGCGATGTTTACACCTGCATACACTCGCACACACGTGCCCCACGCACTCTTACACTCGCACCAAACTTAACGGCAAATATTCATGCATGGTCTCTGATACTGTTGGGGCAAGTGCTGTTAGTGAGCAGCGTCTATGAAGGCCGGCCAACAGCACACGAGGGGGTGGGTGACCAGCACCGCGCCCGGCCACCTTTGACTCCGCAGTGGCGATGTTTACGCACCGTGCCACATACTCATTTGAGGCCGAGTCAACCTAGCGGAGGCCTAGGACCCGTTCAGATAATCGTCAACCGGTGATTGCCTGAGCGGGAATCGAACTCGGGTAACCGGGTTAGTAGCACAGCGAGCAAACCATGCACTACCACTCCCCGCACACACACACGGGGGCAATGCTCGCGAGCACACACACTTTCACACACACTCCCAGCGCGAGGCCGACTAATTACATCTCGTGGAGGATCGCTCCGCTGAACAAAATAGTTCCGTGAATCATTTTGCGAGTGCGAGTTCGGGTTTTAAGTCGATGTTAAAAAGAAATGTTTCATGGAAGTTGGTTCGTAAGTGCAGGTGTTCGTAAGTTGGGTGTTCGTAAGTCGGGTGTTTATACGTCGAGGACTGCCTGTTTCCAGTTCAATGGGCAAAAACAGTTTTAGTTAAGACGCGAGGAAAAAAATAATTCAAAGGTAAGATCAAGATGTCATCACGGTCAATATGCCGTACCAAGACTGTTGTCGATGGCATTGCAAGTTATAATAATGCCAACTTGGAACGCACCGCGCACAGCATTCGCTCACTCGCATAAGGGGCATGTGTACGTTGCAGGATACCGGAATGCCTGGAGAAAACGAATGCGTTTGAGTGAGGGGGCAACACCTCTACAGATGGAACAGTTCAGAGACTCATCCACATTTGGCTGTCCTGCCTTTACCTGGCTGAGCTAGGGGTACGGCACTGTCTTAACACCCACGGGCTAGAGAGCGTGGAACAGATGGGGGTTAGTCCACACACTTTGCTGTACTGCCTTCTGCTGGCGACGCCCACCCACGGAAAGGGAGAGAATGTCGGAAACATCCGTGGGGCGATCCAGCAACCCTCGTTGCTGTCACCACACAGTGCTGGATCAGAGTAGCAACAGCAGCGTAACAACCACCACCACCACCACCGCCACCACCCACCACCGCCACCACCCACCACCGCCACCACCAGCGCAACCACCACCGTCACCGCCGTCACCGCCGCCACCCACCACTGCCACCACCACTGCCACTGTCACCGCCACCACCGTCACCACCGCCACCCACCACCACCAGACCCTACAGATGTAGAGCAACCTCCGCTGGGCAGTCACAGTCATCACCACACTCGGTGATTTTCTACCACTCATGGTCATCCTCAACACCACCACCACCACCACCAAACAACAACACAACACAGCATTCGAGCATTACTGCTACGAAACCGTCCGGGGAGGTTCGTCTTGACTCGGGTCACCATGGCAGTAAATGTGACTTTTCCCATCGTGGAGTGAGCATGAGACCGCAGGGCTGTAAACTTCACCTCTGCCCTCCAGGACCCGGCGGAGTGTGTGCATAGTACCGACAGCGTTCAAACTGCAGCATAATTGGTGCGCTCCGTGCCAGATATCGCGGGGTTATCGTGGACGGAAAGTTGACCCCTTCCAAAGCCCCCGCATGAAATAGATTCGCAAAAAGACCAAGTCAAGTTCCCTCCCCCTGCTACAGAAACTTGCAGGGCCGACCTGGCATGCACCTGCTGTTAAGCGCCGCGAACTACTGGATATGTGTGCGCAAAAAGAGCTTTGCAGCTAATAGGATTGCTCGAGTACGAATAAATATTCTGACGTCTTCTGAACTTTACCGCCCTCCCCCCTCCACATCTCTGGTCTGCTCGGTGGCAGGATCACTGCAATTTCAGCGGCAGCTCATCAACGACACTGCCAAGATTGCAGGGCGAAGCAACGCCAACAATTAGGCACCATGACGGACGCTCTGAGAACAAGACGGGGATGGCTCCTGGGCTGCCGATTCTTGGGGAACATCCCCTTGCCGACAAATCTCCGCAGAGACGTCGCGCGGACCGCACGGGGAGTATTTTTGGCACGCGGTTGTCGCCGACGACGACGACATCGATGACCACCGCTACGCTGCAACCATCATCTCAACCAAGACCTCAATTAAGTCACCTCCTCCTGGCTGCTGACTGGGGTCCCAGTGATCACCTCGCTTCTGGGACCACGCTTTGCTGCTGCTGCTGCTTCCATCCTCGAGTCTCACCACAACCCCCAGATCGGGAAGAAACGCCGCTGGCGAACGGCATGGGAACAACGCCCAGAGTTAAATTTCGATTTAAAGCTTTCGTGACTGCAGGGATTCATCTTCTTGGTTCTTTCGGTAAAGTCACGTAGAATGTAAATAATAAAATAATAACAATAAACGTTATCAAATCATATAATAAAAGAATATAATATAATAAAATATTTTATTATGTTTTATTTTTATTACTTTATTATTTCCATTCGACGTGACTTTACCGAAACAACCAAGAAAACGCCCAGAGTTATAAACACCTCCGCATAATTATGAAAGTCACCGCCAGCGTTTCGATTTAAAACTTTCGTGACTGCAGGGATTGATATTCTTGGATCTTTCCGTAAAGTCACGTAGAAGGGAAATAATAAAATAATAAAACATAATAAAATTCTCACGAAGTTTCGGCCACAACACAAGCAGCCGTCCTCAGGTGAAGAACAGAACTGTCGGAAAGACAGCATCCTAATGGACACTGCTAAGCTTGGCAGCGTATTTTAAGCTGGGTGGGAGGAGCAGAGCGCCTTGACAAAGGAGTTTACATATCAACAGAGGAGTTTAGCATATTGACGCGAAAGAACTGCTTCTACCCTACGACCATACAATAAACCGATGTGAAAAAACTAGAAAAAAACTACATCAATATAATCAATGTACTCAATATACTCTCCAATAAGCTGAGCTATTAACATTAAGTAACTGGGTATAGACTACACTATATGATGACTACCATATAATGAACCGATATAAAACTGAAATATAAACTACATCAATATAAATTTCGATTTAAAGCTTCCGTGACTGCAGGGATTCATCTTCTTGGTTCTTTCGGTAAAGTCGCGTAGAATGGAATTCTACGCGACTTTACATCAATATAATCAATTGCCTACATGAAGATGAGTCGAGTATTACATCTCCACAGTTCACATCTCGAGGTGGCCTGCGTCTCACTTGGTCCCAGGTGTCTCCTCTGTCGCTCCGTGGTCTCCGGACTCCTGGGTGTCTCGTCATGGTTCGAGATCCTCCCTTTGTCTCCAAAATGTCCAGCATCTCTCTCTCTCTCTCTCTGCATTTTTCCGTGTCTCCCGTGTCTCTACATGACCCACCCTAGTCTCCCTGTATCTCCAAGATCTCCACGTGATCTCCCCGTGTCCACCACATGACCCACCCTAGTCTCCCTGTATCTCCAGTATCTCCACGTGATCTCCCCGTGTCCACCACATGACCCACCCTAGTCTCCCTGTATCTCCAGTATCTCCACGTGATCTCCCCGTGTCCACCACGTGACCCACCCTAGTCCCCCTGTATCTCCAGCATCTCCACGTGATCTCCCCATGTCCACCACGTGACCCACCCTAGTCTCCCTGTATCTCCACATGATCTCCCCGTGTCCATCACGTGACCCACCCTAGTCTCCCTGTATCTCCAGTATCTCCACGTGATCTCCCCGTGTCCATCACGTGACCCACCCTAGTCTCCCTGTATCTCCAGCATCTCCACGTGATCTCCCCGTGTCCATCACGTGACCCACCCTAGTTTCCCTGTATCTCCAGCATCTCCACGTGATCTCCCCGTGTCCATCACATGACCCACCCTAGTTTCCCTGTATCTCCAGTATCTCCACGTGATCTCCCCGTGTCCACCACGTGACCCACCCTAGTCTCCCTGTATCTCCACGTGATCTCCCCGTGTCCACCACGTGACCCATCATAGTCTCCCTGTATCTCCAGTATCTCCACGTGATCTCCCGTGTCCATCACGTGACCCCCCTAGTCTCCCTGGATCTCCAGCATCTCCACGTGATCTCCCCGTGTCCACCACGTGACCCACCCTAGTCTCCCTGTATCTCCAGCATCTCCACGTGATCTCCCCGTGTCCACCACGTGACCCACCCTAGTCTCCCTGTATCTCCAGCATCTCCACGTGATCTCCCCGTGTCCATCACGTGACCCACCCTAGTCTCCCTGTATCTCCAGTATCTCCACGTGATCTCCCCGTGTCCACCACGTGACCCACCCTAGTCTCCCTGTAGCTCCAGTATCTCCACGTGATCTCCCCGTGTCCATCACGTGACCCACCCTAGTCTCCCTGGATCTCCAGTATCTCCACGTGATCTCCCCGTGTCCACCACGTGACCCACCCTAGTCTCCCTGTATCTCCAGTATCTCCACGTGATCTCCCGTGTCCATCACGTGACCCACCCTAGTCTCCCTGTATCTCCAATATCTCCACGTGATCTCCCCGTGTCCATCACATGACCCACCCTAGTCTCCCTGGATCTCCAGTATTTCCACGTGATCTCCCCGTGTCCATCACGTGACCCACCCTGGTCTCCCTGTATCTCCAGTATCTCCACGTGATCTCCCCGTGTCCACCACGTGACCCACCCTAGTTTCCCTGTATCTCCAGTATCTCCATGTGATCTCCCCGTGTCCATCACGTGACCCACCCTGGTCTCCCTGTATCTCCAGTATCTCCACGTGATCTCCCCGTGTCCACCACGTGACCCACCCTAGTCTCCCTGTATCTCCAGTATCTCCACGTGATCTCCCCGTGTCCATCACGTGACCCACCCTAGTCTCCCTGGATCTCCAGTATCTCCACGTGATCTCCCGTGTCCATCACGTGACCCACCCTAGTCTCCCTGTATCTCCAGTATCTCCACGTGATCTCCCCGTGTCCACCACGTGACCCACCCTAGTCTCCCTGTATCTCCAGTATCTCCACGTGATCTCCCCGTGTCCATCACGTGACCCACCCTAGTCTCCCTGGATCTCCAGTATCTCCACGTGATCTCCCCGTGTCCACCACGTGACCCACCCTAGTCTCCCTGTATCTCCAGTATCTCCACGTGATCTCCCGTGTCCATCACGTGACCCACCCTAGTCTCCCTGTATCTCCAATATCTCCACGTGATCTCCCCGTGTCCATCACATGACCCACCCTAGTCTCCCTGGATCGCCAGTATCTCCACGTGATCTCCCCGTGTCCATCACGTGACCCACCCTGGTCTCCCTGTATCTCCAGTATCTCCACGTGATCTCCCCGTGTCCACCACGTGACCCACCCTAGTTTCCCTGTATCTCCAGCATCTCCACGTGATCTCCCCGTGTCCATCACATGACCCACCCTAGTCTCCCTGTATCTCCACGTGATCTCCCCGTGTCCACCACGTGACCCACCCTAGTCTCCCTGTATCTCCAGCATCTCCACGTGATCTCCCCGTGTCCATCACGTGACCCACCCTAGTCTCCCTGGATCTCCGCATATTCTCTCCTCCATCTCCTCGCGATTTCGCCCCCCTCTCCCCGCCGTGGCCTCGCCACAACCTCCTTATGTCTCTGCGTGTCCTCCCCGCGTGTGGTGTCCTCTCACCTGCAGGAAGGCCCAGGTGAAGGCCCGAGATGGCGTGCCCTGCGACCCCTCCCCGCGGGCCCAACCTCCCGTACAGCACCGCGTGCAGCTCCGCTTCAGAGAAATAGAACCTTTGTTGCACTTGATGTTGTGGCTGATGATGATGATGATGTGGTTGATGGTGTTGCTGTTGTTGTTGTTGCCGGTGATGGTGGTGGTGGTGTTGACGTTGTTGCTGAGCTTGAGTCTGGTTCTGAGTTTGCTGTTGATGATGCTGATTGTTTTGTCGATTGTTCTGACCGTGTTGTTGATGTTGTTGTTGTTGTTGATGCTGGTGATGTTGGTGATGTTGGTGGGGACGGGACGGAGAGATGGAGGGCTCCCCCCCTATGGGGAGGAAAGGCATTGGGCGACACGGAACTTCACGGGCCTTGGGCAGCACCAGCGGCAGGGGCATTGCGAGGGGCAAGGCCGGGGTCAACTTCCCTTGCTGCTGCTGTTGCTGCTGCTGTTGCTGCTGTTGCAGGTGTTGCAGATGCTGCTGCTGCTGATGTCCATTCCCATGATGGTGCAGGTGATGGTGGTGATGGTAGGCGCGATGATGGTGGTGGTGCTGATGTAGTTGCGACGGTGGCAGTAGCAGCGCCCCCGCGTTCGGAGCAGCAACAACAGCGGCGGTGGCGGCGGCGGCGGGGAGAGCCCCTCCGTAGGGTCCCGGCGAAGGCCCCACCTCGAGGTGAAGGCCCGGGTAGGCGAAGGCCGGCCTGCAGCCCTTGAGCGCGGCCCCCTCGGCCACCAGTCCAGGCAGCAAGTGGTGGAGGCCCGCAGAGGGCCCTCCAATCCTTCGCCTCGGCGACGCCCCAGGGAAGGCCATCATGGTCCCCGGGACCTCTCCGCCTGGTTGCGGTGCTCTAGGAACGCGGGGAGCCCCTTTTGGGGGGCCATGCGAAGAGAGCGGCGGACCAGGGCGACTGGGTGGTGGCGACGGCGGCGGCGGCGGTGGTGGAGATTCAAAAGCAAACGGACGGTGAGGTGCAGACTCACGTCCTCTCTCCTCTTCGGCCTCCACCTCCTCTTCCTTCACCTCCTTCTCCTCCTCCTCCTCCTCCTCGCCGAGTGGTGTCTGCTTGCTTTGCGTGTCTCCCCTGGGATCTAGAGGCTCTGCGCCAAGGAACGGCCTCGGAATGAATCCTGCGGGGCACAACACATCGATCCCTGGGGTTACATCGGAAAAGTTGGGACAAATCGGTAACTTTATCATCATAATCATCATCAGCAGCAGCAGCAGCTGCCGTGGTCAATTCCGCTGCTGTATGAAGGTCACCCCCAAGCTACCCTCAAGGTGTCTCCATGCCTGCATGTAATTAAATCGACGGGACAGGAGGAAGATGAACGACACGTGGAATTAAAGAACGCACGCATGCAGGTTTCTAACGACGTCATTCAAAGTTTCGATTTAAAGCTTTCGTGACTGCAGGAATTCATCTTCTTGGTTCTTTCGGTAAAGTCACGTAGAAGGGAAGTAATAAAATAATAAAAATTAATTATATTATTTTATTATGTTTTATTTTTATTATTTTATTACTTCCCTTCTACGTGACTTTACCGAAAGAACCAAGAAGAAGGTCATTCAAAGTGTCAAGAAAGGGCAAGTGGGCTTGGTGGACAGAGGACGTGGTTGACGTGCAGCTACGAGACGTGCAGCGGGCAGGACACAGTCACGGCTAGAAGGGGCAGCGATGATGATGGTGGTGGTGGTGATGGTCAAGGCCTATGATACCATCAGTAGCCCTGGGCTCTGGGTTGTTCTTCATGCTTTCGGGGTCACTAACTCTCTGCTCACAATTATTAAGGACCTTCATGATGGTGGGCAGGCTACGTGGCTAAAAACTACGTGGCTGGGAGTCAGAGCAATTCCCTGTTCACCTTTGGGTGTGACAGGGATGTCCTCTGGCTCCAACATAATTGAACATCTGTTTTGACCACGTGGTTGGTGAAGCCTTTGATGGCTGTACCAGAGGAATTTTCATCTGATACAGATACAGTGGGAGGCTGATCGATGCCCGGGTGCAGTCAAGGGATGGCTCCGGTTTTACAGCAGAAGTTTCATGCTGAATCAAGCGAGCGACATTATATTTTCATCAGCTGTGCAACGCTGTGTGGATGTTACCTAGTCTGTCACTCCACACGAAACTTCAGGTCTTCTTGGCCACGGTCATGCCCTCCCTTCTCTACGCTTGCGAAACGTGGACCCACCTAATTGAACATCGTCGCCGGTTAGAAAGATTGAGGCTGGCCTGCCTAAAATTCCTCCTGGAATTAACCATCCGGGATTGTATTAGATGCTCACAAATCTTTGAAAGATCTGGACAAAGTCCCATCGGTGAGCTCCTCCGGCAGGCAAGGCTGCGTTTGGCTGGGTCATGTAGCCCACATGCCCAGCCACCACATGCCTAAACAGCTTTTGTTTGGCCGAATAGAGGGGGCTATATGGAGTGATGTGGTAGAGGCGGTTGTGAACCTGAGTGAACTTGCAGGTGACTGGTACCAGCGGTGTCAAAACTGGTCTCCTGAAGGACGCTGCTACTGGGCAGTTGGAGGCAGTCGCCCCTCAGCAACAGCGGAGGGCAGAGGAGCGATGTTCACAACAATGAGAGGAGCGCCGGGTGACTAAAACACAGCAAGTTGTCTCATTAGGGGGCACAGGTGGTGCATTGGCCAATCATCTTAGTCAGTTGACCCATGGCACCTGGGTCTATCCTGTGACCTCCTGCCAGCAGGCGTTTGACACTTCACGTGGCCTTAACATGCACATAGCCAGGTACAAGCACTGTTGTGATGTCACCACAACTTAGTGGCGAATGCCGGTTGCTGGTGGTGGTGGTGGATTGTGTGGGGAGCTCACAAATCCTTGAAAGATCTGGACACGTTCCCATCAGTGAGCTCCTCCGGTAGGCAAGGCTGCGTTGGTTGGGTGATGTAGCCCGCATGCCCAGCCACCGCATGTCCAAGCAGCTTCTGTTTGGCTGCATAAAGGGGGCTAATTGGGCACGACATGGGCTGGAGAAGAGATGAACTGATGCGGTACGGGAGGATGTGGAGCTGAGTGGACTTGAATTTCGATTTAAAGCTTTCGTGACTGCAGGGATTCATCTTCTTGGTTCTTTCGCTAAAGTCACGTAGAAGGGAAGTAATAAAATAATAAAAATAAAACATTTTTATGTTTCGATTTAAAGCTTTCGTGACTGCAGGGATTCATCTTCTTGGTTCTTTCGCTAAAGTCACGTAGAAGGGAAGTAATAAAATAATAAAAATAATAAAATAATAAAATAATTCTCACGACGTTTCGGCCACAACGCAAGCAGCCCTCCTCAGGTGAAGAACATGTCTGTCGATAAGACAGAGTCTAAATGACACGTCTTAGGCTTGGGGTGTCTTTTTAAGCTGAGGGAGGAGGAAGAGAGTCTTGACAAAAGAGTGGACTTGCCGACGACTGGTACCAGGGGCCTCTGTTAAGGAGGCTCGCGTGGCCTCAAAGTGCACCTGGCCTGGCACCGGCGCTGTGGTGATGTCACCATCACTTAGTGGGGAATTGCGGGTATTGGTGGTGATGATGGTGGTGGTGGTGATGGTGGTGATGATGGTGGTGGTGGTGATAATGGTGGTGGTGGTGATGATGGTGGTGGTAGTAATGGTGGTGGTGGTAGTAATGGTGGTACTGATGGTGGCAGTGGTGATGGTGGTGATGATGGTGGTGGTGGTTATGACGGTGGTGATTTTGACTTTTTACAGATGACCAGTCGTTTCGCAAGCATCTATATTTTGAAATGTGTACAGTAAAACAATAACAAGAATAAATGCTTAGAGCAATTAGGCGATATAAATACTGTAGAGTGTATAAATTACAAACGATCGTAATAGCAAACGCGACTTCAAATCATAAAACTTCCAGATATCGGAGGAATCACCCATAACTAAACAAAAATTTAACCCGTAAAAACCAAGTTTTTCACTATAAATCCTTTATATGCGTGGCGGCTAGAGTCCTCTCGTCCTCTGGCTTGAGATGGCTGCCACCTATGGGTCAGATGATTGCCTGCCACCATTAAGCAATTGGTAATTAAATATTTTAAAAAATTCCTAAAAAGTGTAACATTTTGGAAAAAAAAAATTCACGAAAATACATTGTCACGCACAACGAGTCTGTGTACAAAATGTCAGCTCGATTGGATCTCGGGAAGTAGGTTATATGCGTGGCGGCTAGAGTCCTCTCGTCCTCTGGCTTGAGATGGCTGCCACCTATGGGTCAGATGATTGCCTGCCACCATTAAGCAATTGGTAATTAAATATAATTTATTTTTCCTAAAAAGTGTAAAATTTTAGGGGAAAAATTTCACGAAAATAAATTGTCACGCACAACGAGTCTGTGTGCAAAATGTCAGCTCGATTGGATCACGGGAAGTGGGTTAAACAACGACCGAAAGATTTGCACGGTCGTAAGCACGCAAGCAAGCACGCAAGTAAACTCAATATCAAGGATTTAAAAAATATCCCCGTTCTTGGAAGCGCAATTTAATTCGGCATCCGAAGTTAATTTCCCCAAGAGTTCAAAGCCCATTGAGTCGCAAAGGGCGACACGACCGAACGAGACAGAGCGAAATCAAAAAGGCAGATGCGGTCAAAATTGAAAGGATATTTGTAAGCGTAACACAAAAGACAACATCCGTTAACTTGAGCTCAACAAAGGACACATCACGCCAACTTTGAGGTCAGTGAAGGGCGCGTAACAGAATGAAGTTGTTCATTTTAACGCTTCATAAAGCATGACGGTCTGCCGCACCAAACTCTTTCCGAACGGCCGTAATTATATTCTTGGTTCTTTCGGTAAAGTCACGTAGAAGGGGAATAATACAAATAAAACAATAAAATTCTCACGAAGTTTCGATTGCAACACAAGCAATCATCATCAGGTGTGAAACCCACAGCAAGAAAATTAAAATTAATTTTTTTTAAAAATGTTTTAACGTGACTTGACCGAAAGAACCAAGAATGACTCCCTGCAGTCACGAAAGCTTTAAATCAAAATTGGGCCGTAATTAGATTATATGCTGTAAGAACGTGTCTCATTCAGACACCCATCACTCAACCTTGTTGCGTTGCAAAGGCCTCATCAATGAACTCTGGATGTCGCCTGATGATGATGCCGTTTGTAATCACCGGTGAAACGTCGTGGCACTCAACATTAAGAGATAATTGTAAGATTACACTGGTCAACACACTTTTTCTGGCATGAGGTATTCCAACGGGTTTAATGTAACTTTGGGGTGCTGATTCCAAATCTGGCATCCGTTTTTGTCTATCACATCAGGTTTTTGAGATATCAAATATTGCATTTTCAATAAAAACTGCAGAAGAAAAAGATTAAATGTGGATATCTACATAGAAATTATAAACACACTATCCTAAAAATACAGCACCATATTTTAACACTAAAGCAGTCACTGACTCGCAACAACTTGCAATCGTAAGTGACAGAGTTAATTTCGGGTAAAATCACTGAAAATGGGGGTATGCCGATAGCATAAAAATGAGATGTGATAGAGCAAATCTGACATCAGATGTGGAATCAGCACCCTGAAATCAGTCTAAAACAGCTGCAAAAGTCCAGGCCAGAAAAAATATGTTTTTTTTGTTGTTGACCAGTGATATTTGGTTGCAACCGCAACAAACAAAAAACGCACGAACAAGAAACCATCTTAAAGCGACTTCGCGCAAACAGAAAAATCGAGGAAAAAGCAGCTAAAGTCTTGCGGGAAAAGCGCCGCACATCAACGCCGTGTCCCAAAATCCCAGTGGGATGCAATGGTCAATCCACTG